ATTAACCTCATAGGTGGAGACCACCTTGCCCCAAGTTTAAAGAAATGGTCTCTGGGGCCAGCGCTGTGGAGTAGTGGGTAAAAAGCTGCTGCCTGTAGTGCCAGCATCCCATATGGGCGACGGTAGTCAGCTGTTCCACTTCCGATCCAGCTATGGCCTGGGAAAGCAGTAGAAGATGGCCCAAGTCCTTGGGCCCCTGCACCCACTTGGGAGACCTTGAAAAAGCCCCAGGCTCCTGGCTTTGGATCGGCCCATTTATTTATTATAAATAATAAATAAATATAAATAAATAAATCTTAAAAAATAAAGAGAGAGAGAGATGGACTCTGAGGGCTCGAGGAGGAGGCCAGGAGCTGACAAGAACCCTCCATGCTCTTCTGCCCCTCCTGTAGCTGGGTCCAGGCAGGCCACGGACTTGTGAGTCCTGGGACGAAGTGGGCACCAAGGCTGCCTGGCCCTCCCTGTGAGTGGCCTGCCTGCTGCCAGTCCTCACAGCACAGAGGTTCTGTCCTTTGCTAGCTCACTCCATCTTCTGTTCAGCAAACAGAGGTGCACCTAAATGAGGGGGAGGGTGGGAGCGTTTCCTCCAGGGACTGCTGCCAGGAATCCTGCACACTGGTGCCTTGGGTGCCGGCTCTTTGCTGGAGTCTCCTGCGGGGAGAGATCCTCTGTCCCCATCTCACGGGTCTCTCGCTTCCAGTTGGGTGACCATGGGCACACTGCTTCGGCTTCCTCATCCGGAAATGGGATTAAGCACAAGATCCCTCTTGTAGGCGTGGTGGGAGGATCGATGGGGAGCAGCCTGGTGAGAGGGCACAGGCGGAGCTCCCTATGTTGGCTGCCACCATCACCAGCTGTGAGCCCCACTGCAAAGTGAAACCTCACGGGTGGAGACCGCCTTGCTCCCGTGTCCTCTGGGGGACACAGCCTCAGTCGATGGTGGTTTGGGATGCCTGAGTGGTCCCTGGCCAGAATCAACAACAAAGGAGGGAAGCCATTGTAACCCATGAGTCGTACTTTGGAAATTTATATTCATTAAATAAAAGATAAAAAAAAAAAGTAAAAAAAAAAAAAATAATCATCCCAATGGGTGTGAAGTGGTAAAAACAACAACAACAACAACAACAACAACAACAAAGGAGGCAGGGACATTCGGCAACTATTCCTGGGGACACTGGACAAGTGACAAAACCGACAGAACATGCAATGAGCAAATCTCAGCAAACCAAGTGAACCTGGGCAAGGGCTTCAGCCATTTGGTACCTCAATTGTTCCCATCTGGGAAATGGGATGAAAAGCATCTATACCTCACTGTTCTACGGGGAGGATCAAACACGCTGATGTAAGGATGGGGCTTGTGATGGCATGTGTCAGAGTATGTACTGATAAATGCCAGGAAATAAGGTATACAAGTGCAAATGAGTTCTTGTGCCTGGGGATCAAACTTCAGTGACAACACTATACACAGAGTTTTAAACAGCATTTTATCTCAGGTAATTTAGCTAGCAGTGAAAATGATACTTTCTGGAAAACTAGGTTACATGACTCCAAAGTGCCTCAAACAATGACAGACACTATCTCCAAAATTCTCAGGGAAAATGTGAATAAATAGCTTAATAAAATGGGAGTGTGGACAAAACAATGTGTGTTTTACATGCGTGATTTGAAAAGCATATATGTAACTCAACTAATAAATATTATGAGGAACCACGAACTCTATCTCCAAGTGTTCTCAGTACTTAGTTTACACGCTCCTACACACACACACAGTGGCCCTTCCTCTGGGACACAAGGGGTACTGCTTGTTCAGGGATGTCATACATCCAGGGATATTTTCTGAGCACCTGCTACGGGTTGGGCCTAGGTGGGTTAAGGGAGCCTGTTTCCCATAGCTCTCAGTCCAGTGAGGGGGAGAGGAAGCCAGGTAGTCCAGGCAGCCAGCTGACCTGCCAGCACAGACGCAGCACGAGGGTGGGTGGCAGGGCTGAGCCTCCTTTGGGGCTGAGAGGGCTCCTCTAAGGAAGGCGCACCCCTGAGTAGAGCCGAGGGGTGCTATTAGGGGAAGTGTCCTCCACAAAAAATATGTTCAAGTCCTAAGCCCCGTATCTCTGAATGTGATCTTATTTGGATAAAGTATCTTTATGGAGGCTCTCAAGTGAATGAGGCCACCAGGGTGGGCTGTACCTTAGTAGACTGGTGTCCCTGCAGACGGGGGAAAGGTGGACAGAGTCACAGAAACAGGCAGCAGGCCATGTGAATAGGAAAGCAGAGACTAGGGCAATTCACCTACACACTAGGGAGCGCCAAAGACTGCCAGCAAACCACAAGTCAGGAGAGAGGCATGAAGAGGCTCTGGGTCACATGGTCAGGAGGAACCACCCCGCCCACACCTTGATCTTGGACTTCTGGCTTCCAGAACTGTGAGACAATGCATTTCTGCTGTTTGGAGCCCTTTGTTCCAGCAGCCCTGGCAAATTAATACAGGTAGGTGCTCACTTTGGCAGCACACACACCGAAATTGGAGATACTAACGTGGCGCCTGCACAAGGATGACGTGCAAATTCATGAAGCGCTCCGTATTTTTATCACACTGTATCACATCAATGCATAGCGATCATGTGTCAGTTAAAATGTAGGTGGGCAGGAGTGAGCCAGGAGCCCGGTAGGGATTCCAGGTGGAGGCGGCTGTGCACACAGGGGAGGGGCTGCCAGAGGTGCCGGGTTGGAGATCGCGCAGGAGCATACTGGGGCTTAGCAGACACAACTCTCCAACCACACTGAAAAGTGGGGGCTTTACTTACTGCTGAGAGAAGATCAAACTAGATCCATGGCTCACTGAGCACCTACCGTGTGCCAGGCAAGTCACAAGTACTTTGTGACCAAGACAGTGGCACCAGCTCGCCCATGGAGGAAACACAGTAAAGTGACACAGAACGATGGCAGTGGCTATCTCAGGCTGGGAAGGCCTCATGGAACCAGGCACGAAGTGACTGAGGAAGAGCACTCCAGGGAGTGGGAACAGCCCGTGCAAAGGCCCTGAGGTGCGTGAGTCTCAGGAGCGCAAGAGGCCAGGATGACTGGAGCAGAGGAAGGAGAAAATGGGGGGAAACGAGGGCAGAGAGGTGAGGGGCTGGATATGGCAGGGTCTGGGCACTCGTGAGTGGTATAAAACGCGTGCGCGGCAGCCATGGGCCTTCTCTCCCCCTCCTAGACGCGGTCTCAGGCTTTATCCAGGAGAGCGATCGCAATCTAGTTCAGAATCTCCTCGGGCTGTCAGTGAGGCGTGAGCTCAGCATGGTCGCTGCTGACGCTGAGGAGGCCTGCTCCACTCCTGACACAGCCTGCTCTCTCTCGCTGAACTCTGGCTCACCCACAAACTGGAATGATCCCAGCCAGGGGATGAACAAAGACATTACAAAGAGCAAGATGGAGGAGCGCTGAAGCCTCTCACCCAACAAAACAGGGGCCCTAGGCTGCTGGGCTCTGATCCAACTCCATCCCTCACCAGGGATGAGACCGTGGGCCTTGGCAGCTGCGTCTGTAAAATGTGGAGAGCAGGGGCCATTGCTGTGGTGCAGCAAAGCTGTTGCCTGTGGCACCAGCATCCCACGTGGGCGCCGGTTCGAGTCCTGGCTGCTCTACTTCCAGTCCAGCTCCCTGCTAATGTGCCTGGGAAAGCAGCGGAAGATGGCCCAAGTGCTTGGGCCTGTGCACCTGTCTGAGAGACTGGGAAGAAGCTCCTGGTTCCTGGCTTCAGACTGGCCCAGCTTCAGCCATTACAGCCATTTGGGGAGCGAACCAGCAGATGGAAAATCTGTCTCTCCCTCCCTCCCTAACTGTGCTTTTCAAATAAATAAATAAATAAATAAATCTTTAAAAAACTGTGCAGAGTAACCGATACATCTCATGGAGCTGTTGTGAGGATTCAGTGAATGGATGCATGGAAGACCTTAGAACACCCGTTCTTGACTGTGGACTCCTGCCCTCACTTCCACGGTTCAGTGAGACGCCTCACTCGGCCTGCACGGTGGCCTCGGTTCTGCCTTCCTCTTTGCTCCTGGGCCTGCGGGGCCTCTTTGAGCCCAGCTCTGCACTCAGCTCTTGGGCTCCACCAAGCAGACCCCTCCTGGTCTGTGGCCTCAGGCTCTGCTCCCTCACTGCAGTGCCCCATCCTCAGACCCTCTCAACACTGAGGGTCTCGGGCTCAGTCCTAGCCCTCTCTCCTCTCCTGCCACACGCAGCTCGGCCAGGTTGCCCTCGGCTGACCTCCAACTCCAGATTTGCCTGCCTCCTCGGTGCCTCTGCCTGGGTGCCGGCCTAACACATTCGGCTCAGGCTTCGACACCTGGTGTCCCCTGCACCCTCTCTCCCTTCTAACAGACACAACCTGCCAGCTCCTGCCTCGGCTCAGCTCTCCTGAACTGACTCCTCCTCCCCCTGAGCCCCGCGCTTGGGCGCCAGCCTGGCCTCCTGCCTGGACCGTGACAGCGTTCCTCCTGCTCCGCCCAGGCTATCCTCTACACGCAGCCACAGGGACCCCGTGGACACCCAGTGTGGATCACACCCACCCTCTGGCCCACACTGTCCTGGGGCTCCACATCACTTTAAGCAGATGCCCAAGTCCTACAAGAGCCCGATCTGTGCCTGTTGCCCACTCTGGCCTTGTCTCACAACCCTCTTCCCCGCTCACACTGTTCCAGCCACAACGGCCTTCCTCCCACAAGCCAAGCACGCTCCCACCTCTGGGTCTCCGCAGCTGCCATTCCCTCTGCCTGGAATGTTCTTCATCCAGACACGGCACCATGCTCAGCAGCATCTGACCTGCTGTGTGCTTTTCTTATTCACTCCATCTACTGTCCGTCACCCCACCACCAACGGGAGGGGCGTCTGTCTTGTTCAGGGCGATCTTTTCAAGCAGTGCTCGAGGCACCACCCTCCTCCTGCCCGGGGGTGCCAGGCTTGGCTCTGGTGAGCACCTCACTGGGCATCCAGGTACTTACTTCTTTGGGTCACTGAAGGGGAGCGGCCGTGGTGGGGGCTCGTCTGTTCTCTTCCACCCCGTTGGGTGCTTATTACGCACCGGTTGCTTGGAGAAGAAGGACTTGGGGACGGAGGTGGAGAGCTGGAAGGGGCTGGACTGGGTCAGCTGGGAGGGCCGGGGAGTCTCTGCGCTGGCAGTTTTGTAAACCTGAGCCGGGTAGGCAGCCCGCGAGCCCATCTCACTGCAAAGTAAAAACAAAACAAAGTTCATTTACACAAGAGACACACAAGTACATTACCGCTGAGGAAAATTCCAACACGGAGCCTATATGGGTCAGGAGAAGGGGGGGCTACATCTGGTTCCTCTAAGGGGGTCTAAAGGTCCATCTCCAAACTTGCCATCCCCACTCCTCAGTGCACTCCCCACAGCTGAAGGTGGGGTCCTGCCTGCCTGCCCCGCCCGAAGTACCCGTGGTCCACAGTCTGCTGTGGGGACTGTAAGGGACAGGAGACTTCTGTGGACAAACAGCTGTTTTACTTAATGGGGACCATGTGAATACAAGGTTCTGTACTTTTTACTTAAAATGTATCTTGCCAAATGTAGCCTATCATTCCCCTATCTTTTGAGCATCAGACATCATTCCAGCTGATCTAATCTAAACCCACTACTTGAGATTCCAAATGCTGGATTCTTGTTGAATTACAGCAACCAAAAACCTAGTGCTGTCAGTCAGACCCAATTCTTGTGGACTCAACTGCTCGCCTCACTGCAGCAAACCAACTTCTGAAACATTTTTATAAAATTCCAATTCTCCCCTTAGAGTCAGGGGTATCCAATGGGCAAACACAGACTCTGCATGTTTAAGTTACTAAAACCTTCTTGAAGGTTAATGTAGCAAAGTCAAAGGATGGAACTTTTGACTGTGGTTAAATGAGGAGACACAAATCCTGTACCCAGAGAACAAAAGTCAAACCTCTTGGGGGCCTGCACTGTGGCATAGGGGGTAAAGCTGCTGTCTGCAGTGCTGACATCCCACGTGGGCACCAGTTTGAGTCCTGGCAGCTCAACTTCTGATCCAGCTCTCTGCTATGGCCTGGGAAATCAGCAGAAGGTGGACCAAGTCCTTGGGCCCCTGCACCTGCATGGGAGCCCTGGAAGAAACTCCTGGCTCCTGGTTTCAGATTGGCCTAGCTCTGGCTGTTGCGGCCATCTGGGGAGTGAAACAGAAGAAGGAAGACCTCTCTTTTTCTCTCGCTGCCTCTGCCTCTGTCACTCAAATAAATAAATAAATAAATATTAAAAAAAAAAAAAAAACCTCTCAGCACTCTGAAAATGGATCAAAGACATATAAGGATGTGAGGAACATTTATGCAGGAAAAACTGCTGAATGGTGGCATTTAGCTCTGGGGCTTCCCTGCCTGCTCTCAGCTTCCCCAACCCCAACTAAACAAGGAAATTCTTCCAGGGCAGAACCTCTGGGACAGCATCAAGTGGATCAATGTACACATTTTTCTTAAAATTTATTTATTTGAAAGGCAGAGCTTACATAGAGAGAAAGAGTGGACGAGGGAGACAGTTATTCCATCTGCTGGTTCACTCCCCAAATGGTCGCAATGCTTAGAGCTTGAGTGGTCCGAAGCCAGGAGCTTCTTCCAGGTCTCCCATTTGGGTGACAGGGGCCCAAGGACTTGGGCCATTCCCAGGCACATTAGCAGCGAGCTGGATCAGAAGTGGAGCAGCCAGGACTCAAACTGGCGCCCATATGGGATGCCAGAGCTACAGGCAGTGGCTTTACCTACTACGTCACAGTGCCAGCCTACATGACAAGTTTTTCCTTTTTTTTTCCACTTATTTGACAGGTAGAGTTATAGACAGTGAGAGAGAGACAGAGAAAGGTCTTCCCTCTGTTGGTTCACTCCCCAAATGGCCGCCACGGCCGGCACTGCGCCGATCTGAAGCCAGGAGCCAGGTGCTTCCTCCTGGTCTCCCATGTGGGTGCAGGGGCCAAGCACCTGGGCCATCCTCCACTGCCTTCCCGGGCCACAGCAGAGAGCTGGACTGGAAGAGGAGCAACCAGGACAGAATCCGGCGCCCTGACCGGGACTAGAACTGGGGGTGCCGGCGCCACAGGCAGAGGATTAGCCTAGTGAGCAGTGGTGCCGGCCGAGAAAGAGATCTTTCATCTGCTGGTTCACTCCCCAAATGGCCAAAACACTAGCAGCTGAAGTTAGGAACCCGGAGCCTCTTCCAGGTCTCCCATGTGGGTTCAGGGGCCCAAGGACTTGGGGCATCTTCTGCTGCTTTCCCAGGTGCATTAGCAGGGAGCTGGATTGGAAGTGAAGCAGCTGGGACTTGAACCAGTGCCCACACAGAACGCTGATGTCGCAGGCAGAGGCTTAACCTGCTACACCACAAAGTCAACCCAACAAGTTTTCAAAGGAGAAAAGAGGAGCTGATGCTGTGGTACAGCAGGTTAAACTTCTACCTGTGATGCCGGCATCTCCTACGGGTGCTAGTTCGCATGGAAAGGCAGCAGCAGATGGCCTCCTGCATCCATGTCAAAGACTTGGATGGAGTTCCTGGCTCCTGGCTTCCGCCTGGCCCAGTCTCAGCCACTGCAGTAATTTGGCGAGTGAACCAGTGGATGGAAGATCTCTCCTCCCTCTCTCTCTGACTCTGCCTTTCGAATGAAAGATTTGAAGAAATAATGGCTGAAAATATTCTAAATTGGATGGAAATCATTACTGCACACATCTTAAGAAGCTCAACAAACTCCAAGTTGGATAAATACAGCAGAGACTCCGATCTAGAAAGACGGCTGAGAGTCAAACACTGGGATAAAAACCTTGAGAGCATCAAGACAAGGAGTGTTCATCACACCGGAGAGCTTCAGTACCAGAATGGAACAGAAAAAACTGCTAACCAAGAATTCCACCTCCAGCAAAATTATTCTTGAAAAATGAGAGAAACACAAAGATGTTCCTAGAAGACAAAGGCTGAGAATTTGTTGCTTGCACATCTACCCAATACTGCATAATAAAAGAAGTCTTCAGGCCGAGAGAGATGATTCTAGATGGTACCCTGAATCCACAGGGAGACATGAAGAGCTCAAGATAGTAACTTTATGACTTAAAATAAGGACGCTGCAGATCTGTCTGATTTGTGTTAAAACTTCCTTCCTTAAAGACGTGATTGTATAAGGCAATAATGATAACACTAAATTGTTGACTATATAACATACGACAGAAATAGCACAAAGGAGGGGAAGGGAACGAGGCTGTATTGGAGAAAAGTTTCTATATGTTATTGGAATTGTTAGTATTAACTTGAATTACCCAGATAGATGTGTATTATAGCAACAAAACAAAATCAGTAACAGCATCCAAATGGTATGCTAAATTGTATTTTTAAAAAGAATCTATGGGGCTGGCGCTGTGGCATAGTGGGTAAAGCTGCTGCCTGCAGTGCTGGCATCCCATATGGGCACCGGTTCATGTCCTGGCTGTTCCTCTTCCAATCCAGCTCTCTGCTATGGCCTGGGAAAGCAGTAGAAGATGGCCCAAGTCCTTGGGCCCCTGTACCCATGTGGGAGACCCAGAGGAGACTCCTGGCTCCTGGCTTCAGATCTGCCCAGCTCCAGCTGTTGTGGCTAACTGGGGGGTGGACCAGTGGATGGAAGACCTCTCTCTCTGCCTCTCCTTCTCTGTGTAACTCTTTCAAAAGATTTATTTATTTACTTGAGAGGCAGAGTTAGAGAATGAGAGGGAGAGACAGATACTGATTCACTCCCCAAACAGCTACAACGGCCAGGGCTGGGCCAGACTGAAGCCAGGAGCTTCATCTAGATCTCCTACGTGGGTGGCAGGGACCCAAGCAGCTGGGTCATCTTACGCTGCTTTCCCAGGCACATCAGCAGGGAGCTGGATTGGAAGCAGAGCAGCTGGAACTCAAACTGGTACCATATGGGATGCCAGTGGCTTAACCTGCTGTGTCATAATGCCAGTTCTTAAACTGCATTTCTTTAACGCAGGGTAAGGCATCATAGAAGTTCGGAGGAGTAAGGAAGATAGCAGACATACAGAAAACAAATACACACAAAATGACAAATGCAAATCCAACCATCATCAATAGCTAACACTGAACAGGAATTAAACACTTCTATCATAAGGAAGAGATTATCAGACTGGGTTAAAAAAGCAACTATACAGGCCTTCTACAGTTTGACAACACTTATTAGCAGGGCAAAGGTTACGCAGTGCTGGGGAGATGTCCAGGGAGTTGCTTAATGTAAAACATCGAGAATGGGCTTTATAATCCTGAGAAAGGTCAGAAAGTCTCCTACAAGAGGCAGTGGCATCTGGCCAATCAATGGCATCCAACACTGGCTTCTCAGAAACCCATGACACAGAAAAGCCTGCGTAAGTACGTGTAAGCACGTGAGGATGGTTACTAAGTACCGTTCACAATCAAGGAAAATTGAGGGGCAGGCACTATGTTGTAATGTGTTTGGTCTGGCCCAGCCCTGGTTGTTGTGGCCACTTGGGAGCCAGCAGATGGAAGATCTCTAACTCTGCCTTTCAAATAAACAAACAAATCTTAAAAAAAAAAAAGTTGACCATGGCCTGAGCAAATAGGTAGCTCCAAGTATATCCATAGAAGCAGGAACTGTGCAGCCAGGTGGGTTTTTATTTATGGAAGAGGACAGATACAAGGCATGGGGTGGGTACTGCGGTGCGGGTTAAGCCACCATTTGGGACACTCACCTGGGATGGACCCCACCTCCATTTCTGAGCCAGCTTCCTGAGGTGCCTGACAGGCGACAGAGGATGGCCCAAGCACCTGGGTTCCTGTCACCCATGTGGGAGATCCAGATGCAGTTCCTGGCTCCTGGCTTTGGGAGTGAACCAGCAGATGGAGATCTGTCTCTTTCCATCTCTCCCTGTCACTCTTTTAAAATTTTTTTGTCACTCTGTCTTAACAAGACACCAAGACATGTGCAAAGCATGATTCCATTTTTTTTTTTTTTAAGATTTATTTACTTATCTGAGAGGCAGAGTTACAGAGAGAGAGAGGGAGACAGAGAAGTCTTCCATCTCCTGGTTCACTTCCTAAATGGCTGCAACAGCCAGAGCTGGGCTGATTCAAAGCCAGGAGCCAGAAGCTTCTTCTATGTCTTCCATGTGGATGCACGGGCCAAAGCACTTGGGCCATTTCTCACTGCTTTCTCAGGCACATTAGCAG